TAATGAGCTTAAACATACACTATAAACATCAAAATGAACTAAAACTCAAAACGCTGGGTCATAAGACCCAGGATCGTGACAAAAACAAGCTTCCAGTTTGGATTCGGGAGATAGACACTGTCGCTACTTAAAACTTTCCTTTTTGCTAAAGCATATAGTTGGGGCTGGATGAGGTGACCCTGAATCCTCCCTTAATTATGCTGTAATAGGTGTAGGCTGGTGGCGGCTTCCAATTATGCACTGAGTATTTCTTTTTCAGTCATCTTTCTCACTCACTGTGTGTTAATAGACCTCTCTGCATTGAATCATACTTGTTATTGATCTCTGTCTCTCTTCCACAGCATGTATTTCATCCTGTCTTCCGTCTTTCACCCCAACCGGTCGCAGCAGATGGCCGCCCCTCCCTGTGCCTGGTTCTGCCGGATGTTTCTTACTTTTAAAAGGGAGTTTTGTCTTCCCACAGTCGCCAAAGTGCTTGCTCATAGGGGGTCATATGATTGTTGGGTTTTTCTCTGTATGTATTATTGTAGGGTCTACCTTACAATAAAAAGTGCTCCGAGGCGACTGTTTTTGTGATTTGGTGCTATATATTTACATTGAATTAAATTCAATTTATTGCATAGTGAGTGAGAATTCAATAAACTGAATTGAATAAATGTAGAGAAACTGGCAACTCGATAGTAGAAAGCTCACTGCTGTGTTTGGGAATAAGGGATAAAGAAAGAACCGGGCATCTTGGTGCCAAAGCTTGCAACTGCATTTGCAAGTGAGGGATAGAGGAAGAGAACCTCACATCCCGGTGCCAAAAACTTGCCACTGAATTTGTAAGGGAGGGATAGAGGGAAGAGAAACTGGCAACTTTTTGGTAGAAAGCTTGTTGCTGCTGAATTTGGCAATGAGAGATGAGATCCTGGCTGTTATGGAACGGCTGTGTGCAGGCAGGAAATGGACCAAAAGTGCAGACTCCGGAGACAGACGTGAACAGCTTTAATGCTGAACTCAAAGTAACAAACTTCCAAACATTAACGCAGGCAGGAAAAACAAAACACACAGCATAAGTGAGGGTAGATAAGAGTAGATCACGACACTGACAAACTGAAACACAGGGCTTAAATACATAGAGGGAGCAATCAGGGAATGGGCAACAGGAGGGAGACACAGCTGGGGCAAATCGGGCCTAACGAGACAAGGGGAAGCAAACCATACGCATTAACATGAGACATGGACTTTCAAAGTAAAACAGGAAACATAACACAGACTCACAGGCAAGCACTATAACAAAGGGAACAGAGACGTGGGACCAGGGCAGACACAGACACTCGCTGTCTGCCCTGGGTCTTCAGGGTCTGCACGCTTGAAGTACGCGCACTATGCGTACTATGTACGGTGCGTACTATAAGTACGAGAAGTGCGGAAGTGAGAGGCTTGTGAAATGGGACGGT